ACAAGAGAATACACGAATATACTTATTCGACGAAGGAAAGGACAAGAAAACACAAATATAATTATTAGATGAAGGGAAGGACAAGAAAACACGAATATAATTATTCGACGAAGGGAAGGACAAGAGAATACACGAATATACTTATTCGACGAAGGGAAGGACAAGAAAACACACGAATATACCTATTCGACGAAGGGAAGGGACAAGAAAACACACGAATATACTTATTCAACGAAGAGAAGGACAAGAAAACACATGAATATACTTATTCAACGAAGGGAGGGACACGAAAACGCACGAATATACCTATTCGACGAAGGGAAGGACAAGAAACACGAATATACTTAATAAACGAAGGGAAGGACAAGAAAACACGAATATACTTATTAAACGAAGGGAAGGGCAAGAAAACGCACGAATATACTTATTCAACGAAGGGAAAGACAAGAAAACACGCGAATATACTTATTCGACGAAGGGAGGGACAAGAAAACACACGAATATACTTATTCGACGAAGGGAAGGACAAGAAAACACACGAATATACCTTTTCGACGAAGGGAAGGACAAGAAAACACACGAATATACTTATTCGACGAAGGGAGGGACAAGAAAACACACGAATATACCTATTCAACGAAGGGAAGGACAAGAAAACACGCGAATATACTTCTTGAACGAAGGGAAGGACAAGAAAACACACAAATATGCCTATTCGTGTGTTTTCTTGCCCTTCCCTTCGTTGTTCCTGTTGCAATCTGTTCGTCTTAAATTCCACTCGTGTTTTCTGTTGGACTTTGTTAACGTGTCTGTTATTTTGTTTTTTGTTGCTTTTGAAAATGTTGGTTTTGAGTTGCGTTGAGTTCGAGTCTGTGGAAGTGAATGGTGCGGAAAAAAGTTTTTTGGGCTTATGTTAAGGACTAGATTACGTGTAGATGGTTAAAAAGTGAAGGATTTTTTCAATACATGTATCAAAAGATTACAAATGGTTATCAAAGTCTTGGAAGTAAATTTGGAACTAAATACTAAATACTAAAGTCTTGGAACTAAATGCTTAAAAGAAAGAGAGAAAAAAGGTTTATTCATATCTCAAAGACAGTCTAAATAGTTGTTATCAGATTACCATCACACTTAAATACCATAAAATCGAAAAAAGATCTTTTAAGTCGTCCCTAAAAGACCCATCGACCTAAAACGACCCTTCGAAGTCCCACCTAAATGGCTATCAAAATATTGGAAACAAATCCTTAAAAGCCCCAAAAAATCACATCTTAAAGACAGTCTAAATACTATCGGATTATCCTTACACGTAAAATACCATAAAATAAACCAAGAGATCTTTAAAGTCTCTCCTAAAAGACCGGAATAAGACGTCCCTCTTTCTTCCAAGAACCGCTTCATGGTCTCCTTGACGTCCCTCCGTCTTGGCGTCCCTCTTTTCCCAGACGAGCCTAATGACAGTAATAATAATGATCATAATAATAATAATGATAATAATAGTAATAATAATGATAATAATAGTAATGATGATAATAATGATGATAATGATAGTAATAATAATGATAATAATAATAATGATAATGGTAATGATAGCAATTATGTTAAGGTAATAATAATAGTGATGATAATGCTGATGATAATGCTAATAATGATAATGTTAATAATGATAATGATAATGATAATGACAATGATAGCCATTATGTCAAGATAATGATCATACTGATAATGATAATAATAATGCTAATGCTAATGATGATAAGGATGATAATAATAATAAAGATAACAATAACAATAATGATAATAATAAAAATACTCGTTTTCCAGGACCGCATCATGGTGTCTCTGACGTCACTGCTCGTCCTCGCCTCCCTCTTCTCCCAGACGAGCCAGTCCATCCCCAAAACCGCCTACCTCAAGCTCATCGACGTCTGGTACATCTGCGTCATCACGGTCGACTTCGTCATCATCGTCGTCCTCGTCTTCATCGAGAACCTCCGTCTTCGCTTCGGCTCCCCGTCGTCGACCTCGTCCTCGGGAGGTTTCGGCAACGGGAAGGTCTTCCAGGTGTCGCCGTTCGTCAAGAGCGAAGGAGGAGGAGGAGGAGGAGGAGGAGGAGGAGGAGGAAGAGGAGAGGAGGGGAAGAGGTCCTACTCGGGGGACGGCCGGTGGAAGAAGGACCTCCCTCATCACGTGGTCAACAGGGCGTCCCTCGTCATCTTCCCCGCCGGCTGTGTCTTCTTCTGCGTCGTCTTCTTCATGATCGGGTTCATTACCTTCGCCATGGAGTGAATGGGAGG